AACAAATTAGCAACACGCGGACATATGGCCAGACTTTATTATTGTGAACGTTGTCAACCGGTATGACTCAATCAGTCATTCCAGAACTCTCAAGTCAAAAATCCAGAAAAAAAAAAACATTTGCCGAAGAACTGGCGTTAATCAAAATACATTTCCTCTGATTGATATAATTTTTCAATAATTATGCATGCAGCAAAAACCTAATTGTCTGAGATTCATTAAATCGCAAACATTTCTAAATCATGAAGATATGCATTATAAATAGCAGCACCTCATTAGCTGTTGTCCACCTAACCAACAGGAAATGGAGTTCTTCAGTGGGCTAACCAACTCACGTCCGGGCCCATGTGCGACCACGTGAGTTTTGGCGGGAGAACCTCTAATTCGGTAACTAGAAAAGCTGGAAAGCTGAAATTTTGAGCGGATTTTCCTTGTACACGTATAACTCAAATGTTTCAAATTCAACCCTAGACATGCGTAGTTCCTACGTGTGGCCCCTTAAAAATTTCTGGCGATAAAATCGCTAACTCGAAAACCAGACGAGTTGGAAAGCTGAAATTTTAAAAGAATGTTCCCTTTCCAAGTGCTACGTGATAGCTGCGTAATAAATTTCCTGAGGCTTGAGGACCAGTATGTTACAAATTCTAGCTACTGCGATTCCAAACAATTTTGCTGCAGCACGAAATACTACAAAATCACATGATCGCATAGGCGTTTGTTATGTGTTGCCAATGATTTTGACGGTTTTCAGTTTTCTCTTATGCTAATCACTCTGTTCGGCAAAAGTATCTGGGCGATGCGGCAAAGCCTGCCAAACAAATTACTTTCACCCGCTTGTGCTGCTCGTGTTGCTGTGCACACACTGTATCAAATTAAACAAATCCATGAAATTGGCTACATTCTGAGGGATTTGAAAATTGGTTGGTGCACTGACACTAAATTCAGCTAGTCAGCCAGATTACATGTATGCCAGCAAAGAACATGCTGACCATCGCTTGCATAATTCAAAGCACTGCCACAGCTTGAGCAGAAAGTTTCACCTCGTTCTCTACCTATGCAGTTGACAATTTTTCTAGTCATTTTGACCAGAAATGCATTATCTGTTGGCCAGCAAATTAGTGATTTCTGACATCCGTTACGTTCTTTGGAGGAATGACTAGTTCAATGGTTTCTCCGGACAGAAACACTTGGCAAGGCTTTTGCCTTTTCAAAGAAAATGCTGGCCTTCGTTTGTATATATGATAAGAATCACAACCTCGGTTGCTACTGCTAGAAAGCGTATGAAATGTATAAGAAAAACGGGTCCTAGTTAAGTAAAATGACTTTTTCTGAAAAAATCTGAGCCGGAAGAGGAGGGAGGGAGTCGCGG